GAGCTGGTTGTGTTCTGTTAATTATTAATCGGTTTATAAAACTTTCCGCGAGATATATTCGTCTGAGTATTGATCTACAAGTATCGTTTATTATTTTTTTAACGAGCTCTTTTTTCGGTCTTTTTATTACAATACTTTATATGACATAAAATAGTTTGTTTCTCGTAATTGATCGGCTAAATAATTCATTACTGAATAATGATCAGGTTAATTTTGTGACGGTCGTTTATTTTACATGGAATATAATTACAGTAACTAAGTCCAGTAGTTTATAAAATTGTTTAATTTACTCTGCAAGTTATTAAGGAGGGAAATACGTGTAGACAAACGTTTTCATGCTGATTTTTTATTTATTTTTTTGAGGTATGAAAATTAATGTTATTTATTGAAACTATCAGGTTATTTTATACATATATTTATATTTTTCTATATTTTTCGGCAATATATAACTTAAAAAGTAGCGGAGATATCAGCTGATGCACATCGTAGGTTGTCTTCCGACTTAGCAGTTGGTGTGCACTATGGGAGCCACAATTTTTATCTGAAATCAATGGCACGGAAAAATTACTTTTCTTTATACAATTACGCTGAATATGAACCTCCATCATAAGCGATATTTTTATTTAAACTATTTTTTTTTTAATAAACAATGTATGAAAAAATGGTAAAAAATCACGACTTAATTTCACAGCCCTCTAAAAAATGCAAATTTTTACTTTTTTTTTGGAATTGAGGTTCATATAGAAGATACACATATAAAAAAGACCATTCGGCAGCCGAAATGGAAGTAGATTTCATCATGAATAGAAAAAAAATAGAACGAGGATTGTATACAAAACTAGGGTTTTTAACTTCTATGCAATCGACAAAAATATATATCGACGGAAGAATTTTAAAACCAGTGCAATAGCAAATTTCATAATTGGCACAGCGGAATAGGACATAATTTTAAGACTACACATATGATATGGTACTTAAATTGAAGCTTAATTAAAGAGCTTTCAGATGAATTTTACAGAATTTCAATAAGTTATCCCATTCCGAAGATATTCGGGTTAAAAAGTGAAAAAATATGAATTTTTATAGATTTGAAAATTTTTAAATCTTGGCATTTCTAAAAAATTTTACGACTATACATATGATATAGTACTTAAATTGAGGCTTATTTAAAGAGCTTTCAGATGCATTTTACAGAATTTCAATAAGTTATCCCATTCAAAAGTTATTCGAGTAAGAAAGTAAAGAAATATGAATTTTTATGATTTTCAAAATTTTGAAATCCTGGTATTTCTAAATTACTTGACCGATTAAGCTCATCTTCGAACTTGACTTTGGTATTTATCTCTAGAATAAGTATGTTGAGTTTGGTAGAGATCCGTTATAAATTGGCGACGCTATCGTCGTGACAAGCCGCGTTATATCCGATATATATGGGGCATTCCACGCCAAATCAACCACTTTTGACCCTGACCCCTTTTGATTTGGCTGAAAGTTTACCATCCTTTTTTACCCTATCAAAAACGTCTCTCATAATTTTTTCAAATTTTTTTACCCAACCAAAAAAAAGTTCCGAACTTTTCAAAAAAACCGCTTTTTTATTTTTAAATTGCCATAACTTTTTCAAAAATTGGCTTATCGGGACGTTTTTTTTTTTTCAAAATTTTTGTTATTAAATGTTCTTTTTGGAAAAAAATATAAAAAAATTATTCAAAGCTATCTTCATCGTTATTTTTAAAATTTTCAGAAAAAACTCCGAATTTTTTGATGAATACCATTTTTAGTTTGTTTTTTCTTTTTCCCATTCGAAACTTTGACATTTTCTACAGATATCATGAAATTTTCAGAAAGGTGTTTCCGATTTCTATTTTTTCTTTTCAATTAGAAAAAAAAAATTTTTTTTTTAGTTCTGTATTTTTCATTAACACCGGGCCAAAAATTTCCGGGAATCCTCAAAAAAAAAAGTAAAAAGTATAGAAAAATTAATTAAGTGCCATCATTAGAAACAATATTGTTAAAGAACATTTTTTTGCTTAGCTAAGGAAAATGTTTTTATTAGTTTAAGAATTATTGCATTTCAGACATTATAGTCATGTATTAAACCATTTGACAAAATCGGTTTAATTATAAAACTTAGAGTATCAATTGTTCATTTCAACGCCCACCATTCATTAAGCATTAAATAAAAAAAACAATTGTTTTTCAATTTTTTCTTTGATTTAAAAAAAATTGATTTTCTCGATGTTAAACATGTTCAACTTTTGGTTCTATACTTTTTTCTGGTTGGGTAAAAAAATTTGAAAAAATTATGAGAGACGTTTTTGATAGGGTAGAAAAGGATGGTAAACTTTCAGCCAAATCAAAAGGGGTCAGGGTCAAAAGTAGTTGATTTGGCGTGGAATGCCCCATATATACATACATACAAATAAATATATATATACATAAACATATATAAACTTTTGAACCATATGCATTTTCCTACTCAGCTCGACAAGTATAGTCAAAATATAGCAAAATTTTTTAAAAGTTCCGTCATGAGGACCAATGCAATAGTTAGATTTCTATGAAATCTACTAAAAAGTAATTTTTCTGTGCCGAGTGATTTCAGATAAAAATTGTGGCTTCCATACTGCACACCAACTACTAAGTCGGATGGCAACCTACGATGTGTATCGCTGAAATCTCCGCTATTTGTTAAGTTATATTGTTGTTTTATACGAAAAAATACTCATAAATATATATCTATAAAATAAACCGATAGTTTCAATAAAAAATATTAGATTTTTATCCCTTAAAAAAATTAATGAAAATCAGCATGAAAACGGTCTTCTATAAGTATTTTCCCCCCGTACAAGAATAAAAATTTGAATTTTTTGCATTAAAATGAATTATTCAATTATTTATGATTTGAAATAACTGTAAATATCTTTTTTTTCAGACAATATAAGTTGGCATACAATTTGGCAATGTTTTAATAATACAACATTGCCAAAATGAATGAAAAAATTCAGGCAAAAATAACTCTAATTACAATATCCGGTTACAGAAAGTTGTCTCTAGCGATTATTTCCCATAAATACCACATCATAGTTATTTAATGTAAAATTTCGAAGTATTTAAGTCAAACGCTAAAGCTAAATTTAGACATTGCAACATATCTAGACAAACATTTACCATTCTATTGCATGACAATCCAGAAATAACAACGTTTAAATACCGACAAAATATACCAATATTATTATCATCAAGTTTTAAATTCGAATGAACTCATTTATTAATGAAAACCTCAAAATACTTCGATTCTGTCTCCGAATATAGAGTTATAAGTTATAATTTTAAAACTATTCCGAATAATTTAGATTCTGAAATCATTCGGGACTTAAATAGGTTTGAAATAAAATAATCTGTATTGATTTGATAAAATTCTAAATATTTTAGAACAGTTCAATGGCCACTAAAATACCAAATCAATAATTTAATGAACTGGTCTTATTAATTGAACTTTAATATAATGAATGTTCATTCTTATATTTATAAATACATATGTGCGGTTTTCTAAGATATTTATTAATTTAAAGCTATGAATTTTAAGCAACGTCTATTTTCATAAAAATTATTATAAACGTTGGTTGTACATAATAATAAACTACTTTTAAAGTAACTATAGATAATATACAATGATAAAACATGTATTTTGTTTTAAACAATCGATAGTCGTATTGTGGAATGGCTTCATAATAGACAATAGAATACGAGAAGCAATGAAAATGGATTTTGTGGCATATAAAGTAATAACTTTGCAGTAATATAACAATTTATAACGGGAAATATCTACATATTTATACATATGCATTTTATTTTATTGCTAAGTAGGTTAACGCGTGAGATTTTGGATTACAATTTTATTTAAAAGTAAACTATGATAAAAATATTTTATTATTAAAATTAAGGTCGGCAGTTGATAGACGGTCAATTTTGAATTGTCTTAACTTGTCGCCTATGCTCGCTTAAAAAATTGCCCAGCCAGCGCATCCCGTATAAACGGCTCGTCTTCATACGAATGTCTCATAAACCTTACAGCGAATGTCGTAATCACGGCTGTCGACATTTCGAAAAGAGCAGTTTTGTCGAAAATGAAATTGATTTTTTGTTATTTATATCGCACTTACAGGTTAAAATGAGTACACTTATGTCAAGTCCTAATATAAAATTGAGATGAAATGTATGTGGCATCAAACTATTCGTAACGTGATTGGTTGAATATATCATAAGCATGAAAATATATGCAAACTCTATAGTCAAGGCGCGCGCTTGCGCGCGTAAATTCAAATTCTAGTGTTGTAAAAAGTATATGAAGTATATCTAGCGCCACGGTGCGACTGAAGAAGTAATGAACTACCGCAACTACCACCAACTATACATATACGCGTGAGGGGCAATGAATTTCGGCTACTATAGGCTCTGTTCAAGGTTAATTTTTACAAACCAAGTTCTTGCAGCCAGCAGCAGTAGTATACAGTAAACAGAGGTATAAGTACTTGTACTAACACGTGAAAATTATACAAAAATTAAATTTTGCACCACGCATTTTAAGGAAAAGTTTGTGTTGAATAAAGGAAAATAATTTTTTTATTTTATATATTTTAATCTGTTTACGATTAAAATAAATAACTTTATATAGTATTCATTGTCCAGAATCAAACGTAAGTATAACCTTAAATATTTTTAACTACAAGTTCAAAAGTATTATTGTATTAAAATATTTTAATTTACAATAGAAATTAATTAGCCGACATCTAAAAATTTTAAGAATTTTTATTATTGAAAAAATTGTTATTAAAAAAAAAAAAAAATTCCTTCATTTGTGAAAATCTTTAAAAACTATTAGTGAAATTAAAAAAAAAAAAATTCTTGTTTATTTATAATTAAATAATTAAAAGAAATCAAAAAATTAAAAACGTCGCCTAACTTTTGTAATATTATTTTACATAGGTTCATCAGAAATGGATAAAAAATTAAGTAGTGTTCGGAAAGCTGTATATAAACGGGATGAAAAAAAAGTTAAATCTTTTTTATCAGTTTTCCAAGTTAGAAAAGGTTTAACTACAGCACAGAGTTATTTTCCGTCGCAGGTGAGTGTCAGAAATTACCGCTAAATATACCAATATTATAATTATCACAATAACCGCAGATATATACATATAAATATATTTTTTTTTGTTATTACTTTATATGAAAGATTTCATTATTCTTGATTTTAGAAAAAAATTGACAAAATATTTTGATTCATAAAAATCAATGCAACAGATAATAAATGTTTTTATTACATTTATACTACAATCATATATTTAGCATTTGTATCGAGTTATAAAAATATAATTATGATTATTTTAAAGTATCAAAAGTAACATTTACAAATTCATTATCAAACTACAGTAAATTACTGAATGAACCATTGTTAAATAAAATTTTATTTTAACTTAAGTTAAAATATTTTTTTCTAAAATTAATGTTAAATTTCCATTAATTAACAATTGCCTGACTTGTTAAGAAATTATCTGTTTTCATTTTTTCCAACAGGACTTAATGATTTAAAATGCAAAGAATACAGCATAATTAATTTACATACCTGTAATTCGAATTAAAAAAAAATTTTTTTTTTAAACTCACAACAAATCCATTAAAAGACTGTTATTTTTTTTAAAGTTTCTGACAGTTAGTTTTTTTTTTATAACTCAAAAACTGGTACAGAACTGCAGAGAGTGTATGCAATCAATATTAAAGATCTAATTCTTAATTGGATTCATCATGAGTTATAGGTAATCAATCGACTTCAGATTTTTAGGGTAATTGCATCGTTGTGTCCTTAATAAGTATTCAAAAATTTATAATTTTCTGGCGCTATGCCTTAATCATGGCAATTACTTTAATGAATTTAATTTTAATAAAAATAATAAAAGTGTCGAAAATTAATAAAAATTATAAAATCTTTCTCACAAGCTCTTTCGACGGTCGCTCTATCTCATTCTCTCGCTCTCTCGATCTTTCTCACTCACTTGCTTCCTACTCTCGCTCCATGACAATGTGCTTCATGCTACGTTCGCCCTTTCTCACTCTCTCTCAATCGTTTTCTCCCTCATCTTGAACAAAAATGTCCCACATTTTCGTGTTACTAATATTATTATTATTATTATTATTATTGCGTTTGATCCGAAAAAATCTGTCGAGAAGCGAATTTTTCATCCCACAGTGAGAAAAAAACATTTCTAACTCGTAGCGTTCGGAATTATTGTGAATTTTTACGGATGGTCTTCAAGGTCAATAGTCTTTTTTGATCTTTTTGGAAGAAGAACTGATTAAATTTTGGATTTGATCGGTCAACTAATTTTAAAAATATTTCAAAATAATAAATTCTTTTAATTTTCAAATTACGGTTAATATCATCCATATTTTTGTATTTACTAACTAAAAAATAAAGAAAGTCAAATACAGTTAGGATATTTTTAAGTAAACATTTTCGTTATCTGATGCCCACCATGACTAAGTGTTAATTATTTTTTATTGATTTCAGAATATCGATGAAAGGGAAAATATACTCATGGATATTGACAACTCAATCAATGTTGATGAAAATGCTGTTGAAAATGAAGTTGCTCCCGGTGGCAGTGATATAGACAGCTACGTTGTCGTAGACGGTAACTACGTTGAGGATGACGTTGAAAATGATAATTTTAATGAAAATGAAGATGATAACGACAATTATTATGATGTTTATGATGATGATGATGATGATGATGATGATGATGAAGATGATGATGATGATGATGAAGATGATGATGATGATGAAGATGAAGATGATGACGATAATTATTATGATGTTTATGATGATGATGATGATGATGATGATGATGAAGATGATGATGAAGATGGCGGTGGAGGCGCTGACGGAGGCAATAGTGACGTTCCATTAATAGCTAAGCGTAATATTACTGTTAAAGATCACATACTCTCAACAATCTCTATGACAGTACGACATCATCTAACATACGAGGCTATTATCGACAATTTAAAATGGTTAAAATCTCTATATCACCACAATTCCATACCCACGACTGAAGACCAACTCTGGAAATGTCTCGCTCGCAATGATGGTTTATTAAAGTACCATTATTATTGTAAACAATGCTTTGATTATTTTGGTTTGAAACAAGCAGGGCAGTTAGAAAAACAATGCAACTGTACAGCTTGTGGTCCTGATGATGAAGTCGAAGCAAATTTGACTTATTTTATATACATAAATCTGACTGAACAAATAAAGGAATTACTATCCTTGCCAAACATTTCTGAAGCACTAAAATATAGGTTTCGACGATCGAAAAAAAATGATCAAGGTATTGAAGATATTTATGACGGAGAGATGTATAAAAATCTAAGTAGACCTGGAAATTTCTTGGAGCATTGGTATAACTTGTCATTTACAATAAACACTGACAGATGTAAGGTTTCAAATTCTTCAAATTCCAGTGCTTGGTCACTCTATGTCGAGATTAATGAGTTACCACCTCAAATTCGAAAACAACATGTGCTTTTGGCAGCAATTTTCGTTGATGAGGAACACCCGATAATGAATAATTTTCTCAGACCATTTACCAGCGAAATGAGAACACTTTTTACAACAGGTATAGAATGGAATCCTCCTAATGAAGCAAAAGTCACATCGCGGTTTATTGTAACTACATGCAGCTTAGATACTCCAGCTCGAGCAGCTGTAGCATGTATGAAACAATTTAACGGAAAGTTCGGATGTTTATATTGCTATGCCAAGGGAAAAAGCCTAGGCCAGCGTAAATTTGTATATCCTTTATCTCAATGTTACAAGCGGGAACGAACAGACCCCGAGTTTCGTGTAGATATGGCTAAAGCTTTCGATAATAGAAAAATAGTACATGGCGTAAAAAATATTTCTGCATTAGTGGCGTTGCCGCTTTTTGATATTAATAAGGGTGTTGTTGAAGCTATGCACGCTGTATACCAAGGTGTAGTTAGGCAGCATACAAAAATACTGTTAACGCATACCGGAACTCAATTTTATATTGGAAGTCCACAACAAAAAGCAAATATAGATAAATATTTACTGAAGATAAAACCTCCGTCTTGTCGTTCTCGAAAACCGCGATCTATTTCAACGTATCAACAGTGGAAAGCTTCAGAATGGCGAAACTGGCTTGATTACGGACCTGTATGTTTAGAAGAAGTATTACCAAGAAAATATGTCAACCACCTAGCGATGTTATCAGAGGCAATTCACTATTTAAATAGTGACTGTATAACATTAGAAAATTTAAATCGTTGCGAAACATTGTTAAAGGAATATGTAAGACTTTTTCAAAAATATTTTGGTCTCAGAAATATGAGTTCAAATATTCACCTTTTGACACATTTAGTAGCAGTTGTAAGAAATTGGGGTCCAATATGGCTCCACGAAGCATTTATTTTCAAGTCCTGGAACCGTAGAATAATGGTTAACATCAGTAGCCCTCATGCCCGGACTAATCAAATAGCAACACGATTTTTGCTTCATAGATTTCTTACAACTTCTTTGTATGATTCAACTGTATCTGAATGTACTAAAAAATTTGTCGCAAAACAATTAAAAACATCAATTATGAACAATAACATCGAAACGAAAAATTGTGTAATAGGTTTGGGAAAATCTTCATCACGTGCACCATTGGAAAACGAGCGTGTAGTATTAATGAGTGAGGGTTATGAGCCTACAAACATAAAATGTTACAAAAGAATGCGATTAAATGGTATGAAGTACGAGTGTCAGAGCAATAAAGATAATAAATTTTGTAACGCAATAGTTTTCGTAGGTAATGATATATTTGGCATTATAACTGAAATAATAAAATTTGATCACAACAATGAAGAAATCAGGGGTATACTGATTCAACGAATGCAACAACGAAATCTTGCCTTTAATACTCAGTATATAAATCGAGTGACAGTGTGTAATGATTTACTATTTATCAAAGAATCTGAATTTATAAGACCGGCAGTTAAAATGTGTGGATTAAATAAAATGTATATTGTTAAGCAACCAAACTGTTGGGAAACAGATTAATGAATTCGTTTTTATAGTAATTAACAATAAATAGATCGGTTAATAAAGAAATGAAATGATCAAACAACTATTTTTAAAAAGACATTGTAAGAGTATTAACTAAGTTATTGTACCCAATGAATTGCATCAAATATCGATCTGTCTCCCAGCAGTTTGTTTAAATATTTACCTACAATTATGACCATAAATTATAGTAAAATATTAAGCTATACGTTTAGTTAAGTTACGGCTTTGATAATAGTATTATTTTATAGAAATTAATACTTTATTAACAGAAAGAATAACTTGTTGAATGAAAAATAAAATGTATTGGAATTTGAGAAAATAGTACATGTATGCATATAATATTTGTGCAGATGTATAAATGAGTCTTGTGACTTTAATACTCACTGTAATGGTATTCTGAAGAAAATTCATCCATCTGTAATACTATGTGTATATTTATTAAAGTGTACATTTGATGTATATTTTTTAATTTTTTTAATAAATTAAATATCAATTATGCCATAGTTCCAACGATATCTTTACCCTAAAATTATTTTATACCTTTACCCCCATGAAAAAAAAATATAAAAAATATATTTTAAATATATTAAAAATCTATAAAAAATATATAAATATATAAAAAATATGTATAATAAATATATTTTTAATAACTAACTTTTGGCCGATTTATATAAAATATATATGAAAATCGGCCAAAAGTTAGTTATTAAAAATATATCTATTATATATATTTTTTATAGATTTTTAATATATTTAAAATATTTTTCGAAATATATATTATTTATAATTTTTTTTCATGGGGGTATAACATTATTAAGTTGTACAAATATCACAGAGCAGAAGTATATTCAAATCTATTGCTTTTCCGAGTGTTCGAAGCAATTTTTGATCTCCCGAATAAAAAAACATTATATATTCCTATAGAAACTTACATATGATTCATATTATATAATTGTATAGCGTTGTATATAATTTATATAAAATTATACATAAGTCTATATTATTATACATAATCATATATATTTTTTCATAGTTATATATAATGTTATTTGTGATATTTGAATCATTATATTAAATAATGTAAAATGGATTTTGTGGCATATAAAGTAATAACTTTGCAGTAATATGAAAATTTATAACGAGAACTATCCATATATTTATACGTAGGCATTTTATTTTATTGCTAAGTAGGTTAATGCGTGAGATTTTGGATTATGATTTTATTTATAAGTAAACTATGATAAAAATATTTTATTATGATTTATTTGTACTCTCATTTTATATTTATGATTTTTAATGGAAAATTATTTATATATCTACACATCACTCGGTACATTGTAAATTTATAAACATAAATCAATAATGGTAGGAAGACATACAAAACAAACTTTCAATATTATTTACGTTTTATGAGAGTTTATTTGTGCTTTAAATATGAATAACTCTTTGTTTTTTCATCGAGTATGATTATAGATTTTTAAAAATGTTGTTTTACAAGTTCATTCACATCATTTATTATTTTGTAAAACATTGTATGAGAGAAAACATAATATGTAAAGAATACGAAAGTGCATGTTTCAATCAATTACGTGATAATAGTTTGAAAATTAGTGAGTATAGCAACAAAGAATAGTAATTGCATGTTGCCAATGTGTTTGAGGGAGTATTTTACTCCTTGCTGGTCAAAATTATCTTTTACAATTAAAATTTCTAAGTGATTAAAGTAGACTAAAGACATTCCTGACGGAACAATGACTTGGAAATAATTGTTTTTTAATTATCATCGTTAAAAAAATAATAATTCAATAACAAGTTTTATTTTAAGTTAAAAAATATTATTTATCAAAATTTGAAGTGAACTATTGCTGTGACTTGCTCAAAAATTTTAACAATTGTAATAGGTGGAGAGATATACATTGTAATTAATTAGAGTATTTTATTGTTGAAAATAATATTAATTAACAAAGATAATATTTGCTTTAACATTTGAATAATGTTTAAAATGAAAAATGTGAATAGTAATTTATAACGAAGAGATAAAAGCCGTCGAGAAGTTCGCAACGTAATTACTAATTAGCGAACCCTCGAGATACGATTGAAAATGTAATAGGGAAAAGACTAATTACATAAACTGCATTGTTAGCCAGACATTGAAAGAAAATATAATAATATTTATAAAAAGAAAATAATAATTAAATGCGCTAAAAATTTTTAATTAAAAACTTTGGACATTATTAATGAAAGTTTTAAAGTAATAATCTGAGCTGCGAATAAAAAAATATAAAAACATTATTATGTAAAATTATAAATTAATAATTAGTAAGAATGTTTTTTTTTTTTTTTTTAATGTAATATAAAAATATGAAATATTGTCTTAAGTGAACCACAAAGTAGATTAAAAATTAATAATTTCATCGAGTTACTCCATCGTAATATAATAGAAGTCGCGGTACAACTAAGAAGTTTCCTAACAAACTTGCTACGTAATTAGTCATTAGCGTGGAAGGTAATAAAGTAAAGCGTCATTGAAATTATTATTTATGAGAAACTTTTTCTATAATGTTTTGTTTATTATTTTAATTATAATTTTTTTTTTTTTACTGTTATTTATCTTTGCTAGTAATTAGATTTTTATAAATCAAGTTTAAGATCATTAAACACGTGTACAAACATTAAATTAAATACAAACACACTGGCAGAGCGCACACGCACGAGTATACGGTAGCAAATAAAACACACACGTGTTAGGTTATTCAATTAAGAAGCTAACGCTGGTATAATTATTTTACCTAATTGAAGTATTGTTCGAATTTCCATTTACAATTCTGTTAATTAAGATAAAAGTTTTATCCAATAATTAGAGATAACTTTAATAAAATTAATAGTAGCATGTCAATTTTATGTATAAGAAAATAAAAAAAGGATCGTTAATGTTTATTTAAAAAAATCCTATTTTCCGATTTAATGACGGCAAATAATAAAATTTATAGAGCAATAAAGAACGATAAAATAAATAAATACATATAACATAAATTGGACGGTATTTATTTAATGTGTAGTTATTTATCATCATTTTAGATATTTATCTTGCCTTGAACTGTCAAATAAAAATATTTAAGTGTAGTTATATTGTTGTATAGTAGGACTATCTCATCGCGTTATTATTACTTTCTTGAATATTAGTTTTTATTATATGACAAATGCTTTTTCTCCCTTGTCATTTCGGTTTAAGTAAACAAATGAAAACACGTCCATCATCCAGTCACTCATTTCTCAAGGGTTTAAGTTGTATTTATTACCTTTTTTTTTTTAAATTTATTTTTTTATTTTCACGTTGAAATAATATTGTTGTAATTAAGCAAAGAGATAAAAAGTGAAATATTGATAACGTTTGTCAAGGGTTAAATTATCTTGAAATATTCTGGATTTAACTCGGGTGTCTACAAGCCAGAATATATTGATTATCTCGTATTTTGTCTATGCTCATCTTTCATCTCTGATTCTCCATCCTCCAGCCCGTTACCGTTGTACATTCGTCCCAACTCAATTTCAAACTAAAACTTTTCACAACGCCCATATGTCTTAATTCCATTTACTGAAGTTTATTCAAAAACTTTACTAAGAAAATAAAAACAAACTAAAAATCATAAATTATACTTTCTTGTTGTACCACTTTAAATTCGAATGAAATTAGGTTTTATAAAAAATAAATATGTCATGTAAATAATTAAGAATTTTCTCGCTGGAATTAAAATAAAATACTTTAAAAAATTATATTAATAATTTACTAGCAACCTTGCAGTCACTACGTGACTGCTGTGACTTGTGAACTATAAGTAAATAAAATTTTGCTTTATTAAATAATTAATTTTGTTAAGTTGCACTGTACTTTCTTAAATATTGAAATTTTTGACGATATAAGCTCATCCCGATGTTACACTCATCAAGAGCTTTCGTTTGAGTACCAACATGCATTTTTTTTATATATTTTTCATATATACATATTAGGGTGGCGCAAAAAAACCGACTATTTTTTTTTTGAGTCTCGAGTGAAACAATGTCAGTTTTTGATGTTTTAAGAGCCCTCGCCAAAGAACAGCTCAAAGAAAAATTTTTAAGAGGTCGCTCCAAATTTTTTAAATTTCAAAAATCGTCAAAAATCGATTTTTTTTTTTTAATTTTTCTTCGTGTTACGTCATAATTTTATAGACCAAGAAAATAATAAGTTCCTGAAAGTTCCAATTAAAAATTTAAATTTTGAAAGGTCGCTCATAAATTCTTTTAAATTTCAGAGTCAAAAAATGCTAAATCAATTAAATAATAACTAATAAATTAAAAAAAAATTATGAGCGACCGTTTAAAATTCACATTTTGAACTGAAACTTTCAGGAAAACTTTTTTTTTTTGTTTATAAAATTATGACGTAATGAGAAAAAAAATTCAAAAAAGAAAAAAAAAATCCGATTTTTGAAGATTTTCGAAATTAAAAAAAATTTGGAGCGACATCTTAAAAATTTTTTTTTAAGCTGTCCTTTGGAGAGAGCTCTTAAAACATCAAAAACTAACATTTTTTCACTCGAGACTCAAAAAAACAAAATAGCCGGATTTTTTGCGCCACTCTAATACATATATATAATACATATTTTTAAGATATAAGCTCATCCTGATGTTACACTCATCAAGAGCTTTCATTTGAGTACCCACATGCGTTTTTGATATATTTTTCATATATACATATATATATTATATATAAATATATGAAAAAATGATGTGAGTATTTAAATGAAAGGTCTTGATGAGTGTAACATCGGGATGAGCTTATATCTTTAAAAATGTCAATAATTCATAAGATAAAAGGTAATTTCTTAATTATGTATCTAGAGATAAAGCATTTACGAATGCAGCCTAAATACTTATCATAATAAATTGAATATCGGTGAGAATGATATGAAACCTTGAAAAGGCACAAATTCAAGTTACCACTTTTTCAATGA